TTTAATATTGTTGGGTACATAACCGAGAGAGAACTAAATAAGTCATGTGGTGTTTCGTCAATATGCAACTCGTTGCATATTGAGCTCCACTTAATTTGTAGTATTTTTTCTGCACTTTGCCATGCCATGCCTCATTAAACCGGACATGCATCATACTTGATTGCGCATCATGCCATGTTTATGCTTGGTTGTTTACTATGTTGCTTGCTTCTTTCTGGGTTGCTTCTCTCGTTAGCTTCGGTTTCGGTCCGGAGTTGTGAGGATACGTTCGACTACGTACGTTTGTCTTCTTCATGGACTCATTCTTCTTCCTTGCGGGATCTTAGGCAAGATGACCATACCCTCGAAATCACTTCTATCTTTGCTTGCTAGTTGTTCGCTCAATCGCTATGTCGCGCTACCTACCACTTGTTATATCATGACTCCCATATTGCCATGTCAAGCCTCTAACCCACCTTCCTAGCAAACCGTTGTTTGGCTATGTTACCACTTTTACTCAGCCCCTTTTATAGCGTTGCTAGTTGCAGGTGAAGCTGAAGATTGTTCCATGTTGGATCATGGATATGTTGGGATATCACAATATCTCTTATTTAATTAATGCATCTATATACTTGGTAAAGGGTGGAAGGCTTCGCCTTATGCCTGGTGTTTTGTTCCACTCTTGCTGCCCTAGTTTCCGTCATACCGGTGTTATGTTCCTTGATTTTGCGTTCCTTACGCGGTTGGGGGAATGGGACCCCCTTGACAGTTCGCTTTGAAGAAAACTCCTGCAACAAGGCCCAACCTTAGTTTTAACATTTGCCACCTAAGCCTTTTTCCCCTGGGTTCTGCAGACTCAAGGGTCATATTTATTTTAACCCCCCCCCCCGGGCCAGTGCTCCTCTGAGTGTTCGTTCGAACCGAGCCACCTGCAGGGCCACCTCGGGGAAACTCGAGGGTTGGTTTTACTCATAGCCTGTCTCATCCGGTGTTGCCCTGAGAACGAGATACATGCGACTCCTATCGGGATTTGTCGGCACATCGGGTGGCTTTGCTGGTCCTGTTTTACCATTCTTGAAATGTCTTGTAACCGAGATTCCGAGTCTGATCGGGTCTTCCTGGGAGAAGGAATATCCTTCATTGACCGTGAGAGCTTGTGATGGGTTAAGTTGGGACACCCCTACAGGGTTTAAATTTTCGAGAGCCGTGCCCGCGGTTATGTGGCAGATGGGAATTTGTTAATATCCGGTTGTAGATAACTTGACACTTGACTTAATTAAAATGCATCAACCGCGTGTGTAGCTGTGATAGTCTCTTTCCGGCGGAGTCCGGGAAGTGAACACGGTCTTGTGTTATGCTTGAACGTAAGTAGTTTCAGGATCACTTCTTGATCACTTCTAGACTCTCGACTGTGCGTTGCTTCTCTTCTCGCTCTCTTTTGCGTATGTTAGCCACCATATATGCTAGTGCTTGTTGCAGCTCCACCTCACTACCCTTTCCTACCCTTAATCTTAAATAGTCTTGATCTCGCGGGTGTGAGATTGTTGAGTCCTCGTGGCTCACAGATACTTCCAAACAGTTGCATGTGCCGATGTTACTAGTGCAGATGGTGCAACCCAGCTCAAGTGGGAGCTCGATGAAGATCTTGATCGTTGTTTTTTTCCTTTCCGGATGATCAGTAGTGGAGCCCAGTTGGGACGATCGGGGATCTAGTATTTAGGGTTGTCTTCTTTTATTTTGGTTCCGTAGTCGGACCTTGATTGTACTTTGGATGATGTATAAATTATTTATATATTGTGTGAAGTGGCGTTTGTAAGCCAACTCTTTATCCCTTTCTTATTCAGTACATGTGATTGTGCGAAGATTACCCCTCTTGCGACAAACCTACCATGCGGCTATGCCTCTAAGTCGTGCCCCAACACGTTGGTGATATAGCCGCATTGTGGGTGTTATAATGCACTTTTACCCAAAATTCTCTAACATTTCGTATAATCAACCGGCAATCTTTTTCTGAAAAAGACGTTGTACTGAGGAAACTGATTCGCTGCATTAATAGGCCTTGTTGGAGCTCTGTGCCAACCTATCCACCAACAGCGATGGGAAAAAATGTCACTCACTACGATTCAAACACCGTGATGAGGACATCAATACCATTGTTACACCCACATCCCCTGCTGCTATACATACTGGACCAATTACTAGAGCTCGCGCATGTCAATTAAATTATCAGGTACTTTCGCTTCTTGGTAATGATTCTAATATTCATGAGAATATGATGCTGCCTAAATTGGATACATTTGTTTTGCTTACAAATGAAGGGCCTGGCATGGATAAGAGGGATGAACACTGAAGCAAGACCAAGCATGGAGATGATGGCATGCGCAAGGGGATCAAGAACAGAGTTACAAGTGATGATTTCAGGACTTTGAAGCCACCATAAGGAGTGCATGAAGCCTTGGACGAAATATACAAGATGCCACTTCATAAATTTCATCCAGAGGCTATTCTAGGTGCTGCGTCACCTTATTATTGGGCTAGGCCCATGTACTTCTGAAATACTTAAGTATAGGCTGTTTTTAGAGTCCGTATGAGTGGGGAAACAAGAGTTAGAGTTGGTTTCGGACCCCTCCTCCAAGGGCCACGAAATCCCCCCCCCCCTCTTCCTCCATATATACAACCCTTAGGGCGTCGTTTAGACTTTGGGTTTTGTTTAGATTAAAGTTCGCCATAGCTGCAACTTTGTGTACTTCGTTTGTGTTCAACGACCAGACAAAGGCGTTAGAGAACCCCACCTTGATCAATAAATCTTTCATCTTATATTCGTAATATCCAGATTGCAATCTCAGTTTCTTGCTTGTTCTTCGTTTGCTCGTAGAAAACAGACCCCCGTGGTCAGGTTGATCGTGCTCCGGCGTGGTCAATAACCTCTCGAAAGTTGGTTTAGCGATTGCTAAGGCGCGACGTCTCGCACGTTCGTAGTCGGATCGTCAAGGTCGACTCCCACAGAAAACGATAGCCACCATCTCATCGAAACATCGGGATACCTTCGCCTCTATCACACCGGGTGCACCCTTCTAAAAAAACATAGGGTGCACCATCTCAAGCGTGAGGCATAAACAAGCGGGCGCCGCTATGTCTCGTGCGCTTCCTCTGGATTTTGTTTTTGTTTTATTTTTCTGTATGCATTTTTAGCTTTTCAATGATTTTTTCTGTTTTTTCTTTCAGTTTTCATTCGATTTTTCTTAGGTTTTGGATAAAAGAATCGAAACAAAATTGCGTGAAAAATGTGTTCCCTTCCATGAGAGGCACAAATATATTTCTCGTAGAGGCACGGATTCGCTTCCGCGAGAGGCATAGTCGTGCCTATGGAAAAGGAAAAAAACATGTTTTTCCTTCCACGAGATGCACATATTTACTTCTAATGAAGGCACAGATTTGCTTCCGCGAGAGACACATATTTACTTATCGTGGAGGCACGTTTACGTCGTGCTTCTCAGAAAAAAGGAAAAAAAATACGTTTTTTTTTCGTGAGAGGCACAGATTTGCTTCTCGTTGAGTCACAGATTTGGTTTCCCAAACTATGTCTCTTAGAAAAAGAAAAAAAGGTGCTTCCGATTCGTGTTTTTTCATCTCGGTTTTTTGCGAAAGAAAAGAGGAATCCAAAGTGAAAGTGGTTCGAGATTTGTACGCATGGTTTAACATATAAAACGTTTTGAATAAATGAATTTATAGAAGAAAAAAAAAACTCTCAGGTTGCAGCAAGCGGAAAGGTGAGAATGACCTTTGCAAAAAGTACTCCTTAATTGGTGATTTCGTATACGTGGTCAAAAAATTCTCTATATATGTTTAACATTTTTCGTATATGTTTTGAGTATATAGAGATTTTTTTGGCCACGTATACGAAAAATGTATACAAAAAATTGAACAAAGTGTTTGCAAAATGTTAATCAAGTATTTGAAAAATGTTAAACGTCTATAAAAAATATTGGCCATGTATTAAAAATGATTAAATGTTTTGATCATGTATATAAAAATGTTAGTCAAGCACTTGAAAAATTGTTGAAGAAGTATTTGAAAAATGTAAATCAAGCATTTGAAAAAAATTATGTGTTTCGAAAAAATGTTAATTAAGCATTTGAAAAAATGTTGATCATGTATGTAAAAATGCTAATCAAGCATTTGAAAAAAAAATGTTCCCATGTACGTGTCCTGTGCTGTAGAGGTACCGTTTCTCTGAATATATTGGTGTCAAAATCATCAGAAAGCTGCATGTGAGTGCCAAGATGGCAGAGAATGGCATCAAGATGAGGAGGTACAGCCTGCAGTGTAAGTGCGGTTTCAGGCGAGAAGAATCATAGCCTTGCATTCATCGGAGAGTATTTATAAACCATAAAACATCTGACATTTGGTATGGCAACCTAAATTTCCAATTAAGTACCTATAATATGTTGTGCATGCACAAATTCAAGTGTTTGTGTGAAGGTCCCATTTGTTGTTTAACTGAATCATTTGTGCAATGCTGTGGGTGGACCATACTTTTCTTCCTGTTGTGATGGCCAGTTCGTTGCAGAGTAGCTCTGCTGTTAGCAGTAGAAATGGAACTCCTGCTCCAAATCAAGGATTATAAATGAAGAGACTTGTTAAATCAACAGAGACTGGATAGAAACATTGCCTTGTTCCAATCTTCCAGATTATGACAGATTTTCAGTCTTGATTATAGCGACAGATTTAGCGGAACTGGGTTTCTTCAGTAGAGGAACCGGATGCAAACTGTAGGAAGAATTGCAAGGGGAGTAAAATAACATGAAGATAGTTTATGATTGTCATGCCACCCATCCGCCCCTCTCTGGGTTGGGTTTTACTAACATGAACACAACCCAGAGCCATGACAAATTACACTACTAAAAGCGCATCTATGAAGCGCTGAAATTGGGTTTGATAACACTACAAAGCAAGATTACACGACGACGACGACTGTAGTAAGGGACCAATCCCATGTGTTGTTGCTACTTGCTAGTCCACTAGCCCGTCTTCTTCTTCTTCAAGAAGTAGTACGGGATCGGGAGCTCGCTTGGGTCCGGGGGCACGGCGCTCATGAACGTCGGACCAGCGAACAGTTGCTCTGCCTCCGGAGCCGCTTCCTTGTCGACCGGAGCCTTGGGCTTCTTGTCACACCGATCAGTGAAAGGGGCGCGGCTGGCAGGCCTCTTCACAGCGCTCCAGCTTGTTCGAGACTCCTCGCGACCGGCGCGGTCACCGCCGCCCATGCCCAATGTCGCGCGTCCGGCGCGATCACCGCCGTCCGTGTCCGATGCCACGCGTCCGGCACGGTCGCCGCCGCCCATGTCCGATGCCACGCGTCTGACTCGCTCGCTTCCGCTCATCTCCGACAGCACGCGTCCGACGCGCTCACCGCCGGTCAAGTCCGACGCGGCGGCCAGAATCATAAATTTGTTATCTATCCATCTCCGGGTCGCCGACGCACGGCCAGGCTTTCCGTCCGTCCGCGATGTCTTGAGCAACGTAGCGATTGGGGCCGACGGTGGGGTTGGCAGCAGCGCAGGAAGAACCGCGGCCATCTTGATCTTGCCCTGTCAAGAACAGAGACCAAAGACCAAGGAAGCAGAAAAGGGGACGAAAAGCACGAACCCTAATTCGATCGGATCGACGGAGGAAGAAGAAGGCGACTTACTCGATTTGATCTTCGTGTTCCGCCGATCACCTTGCCGCCCAACGCGAGAGCTTCGAAACGAAAGCGAAAGCCGGGGTACGTATGTGGTTCCCGTATCTACGTATTTGTAGATCCGGATCTCTGTATTTGCAATTGTCTAGGTCGGTTATATCTGTACGTCGTATTTCTAGATCGTACGTATATCCTACGATAATACGTAGCCGGGTCGGACCAGGACTCCTATTTCCCAACCCGTGCGGTGGACTCGCGCGAACTTGGGCCGGCCCAGGTACGTGGTAGGCCTTCTATAAAAAAAATCGTTTATTTTTGTTTGTTATTTTTCTTTTCTGTTTTTTCTTGTTTAGCTTCTTTCAAAATCTTTGAGATTTTAAAAAATTACTTTATTTCAAAAATATCCAGTGAGCTTTTAAAAAAGTTCTATTCATGAGTCCATTTGTTCTCAAATTGAAGAAATGCTCTTAAATTTGAAAATTATTCTCTAATTTTATAAATGTACTTGCATTGAAAAAATAATCCCGTATTTGAAAAAAAATCATGAATTTCAATAAATGTTCACGAGTTTTAAAAGATTTCCATGATTTTTTTTAAAAAATGTGAATTCAAAAAATTCATGAATATTAAAAACGTTCTCATATTTGGAAATATGCCCATGAATTCAGAAATTGTTAGCGAATTCAATAAAATTTTCACAAATTTCAAAAAATCTTCACAAAATTAAGAAGAAAAAGGAAAAGGCAAAGACCAAGAAGGAAAAACGCAAAAAAAAGATAAAAAGAAAAAAAAACCACGCAAACAAACAAACGGAAAAGAAAAACCGGCTCATGGAAGGTTGTACAACCTTCCCAAAAAAGGTGAGGATTTTTGGAGCAATATCACCAAGCAAGGGAAGAGAGGAAGCTCAGCGTATCACAGGAATTCACCACTCTGAAAGGAATGTTGTACTAGAATTTAGGGATTACAACGAAAGATTATGTAGGCCAGGACATGGTAGTGGCTAGGGTTCAACCCTAATACAAGAGATAAGATAGCTATGCCTTCTGGCTTACACGGGCTATATAGCACAACACACAAGCAAGCAACAGAAGAACATAAACAATGGGTGAGTATGACCCCTAGGATCCGAGATGGACGGTCCCAAGTCATCAACCGTAGTGAAAGGGTAAGTGAGCTATGGGTGAACAGTAGAAGTGTCGAATTCTTCAGTAATGTTCAGACTTGAGGGAGTTACTATCGGACCAATGGATTACACGAGCTATATGGAATTCTCATATTTATAAATATGTCCATGAGTTCAAAAATTGTTAACGAATTCAATAAAATGTTCACAAATTCAAAAAAATCTCCACAAAATTAAGAAGAAAAAACGAAAAAGGAAAAGAAGAAGAAGAAGAAGAAGAAGAAGAAGAAGGAAAGAATGCGAAAAAAGATAAAAGGAAAAAAAACATGCGAACAAAACAAAAGGAAAAGAAAAACCGGCTCACGGAAGGTTCTAAAACCTTCTCAAAATAGTTGGGGGAAAGCAAAGAATGGGCTGACCCATACAGAAAACATGGCGTACAGGAGGGTGCGCGGTAGGTCGCTATCCCGTACCAAAATAGGAACTGTCGGTCGAACTTGTTCTTTTATTTTAGAGAGAAGAGATACCGTGTGGGACGTTTCGTGGGCCGCAAGCCAGTCAGACCTATTTTTTTAACATAGTAC